CACTATTTCAAGTAACTTGGATAATTTTTTATTGTTGTTTTCCGAATTATATGGATACAGAAATATATACCGTTCTATAACAAAGAAGAATATTCTATAATAATTGCAGTTCTTGACGTTCTGAATTCACATTTATTTATTGGAATGACGAAAGCAATGTTGACTTCACTTTAATTTGTAATGAATTGAAGACAGAAGAAATGCATTTTACCTTAATACACACATCACATCTGTAACAGTATGCGATAGCGAAATCGGAAGTTATCAGTTGCAAGTTTGTTGATAATAGAAGTTGAAAATTATTGAGGAATTTTCTTCAAATGTTTGGCGTGTTCTGTTTCTGAAAGATTTAACAATGTTCTGGAGAGTTTTTAAGTTTTTGGCTTTTTCCTTAGGGAAATTTCGCTTCTTATTTCGTGGAAAGAAAATGGCGACCGACTCTGGTAGTGATTCTGATGGAACTAAATGAAAAGGTGATAAATTAATGTCTGATATTTACAGGCTCCCGCTAGAGGGCGTTCTCGAGCGTTGCGATCGCGAATACCTTTACTGCTGTTGTTAATTTTATTCTGATGACAACCAAACCAATATTGAAATGAATGAGGAAGAACTGGATCCTACCTCGTGATTTTTAGGCCAATAGCAAGCAGCATTATTATAAATTAGTACCTTTTCACACACATGCGTTCTCGATTTTAATTGGCTGTTTTGTGCGTTACTAACTGTAAGTCTTCTGTGATTGGCTATTTGTTATCATTTCACTCTCTTCTTATATTATATAAAGATATATATTTCTTACACTTAAAAAGCATTAACATTGTAAATTGATAGTGTGGCCGGTGCTTATTGAAAGTAAATTCAGGAACATGGAGAAATAATAGTATTTCATTAAAGTAAGGGCCGAAGCCCCGAAATGAGAATATTATATGCAGGTGGATAGATAGGGAAGCGACAGATTGACCTTGGAAAGTGGGGTTTTTATATCGTTCTGGATAATATATTTAAATATTAATAGGTTTTAGTAACGTGGGACTGATCAATTTCCCAAGCATTCCTGAGATAATTAGACTAATATTATTACTTTCTTTGTGGAAAAGGATTTAAATGATTGCATGTTAGATATATGCTGTACTTATGGATCATATTTAATATATAATTCTTTTAACTTTATCTATATTTATACATATATATGTATATAAAATTTTATACTTTAAAACGTATAATTTTACTGCTTATTTAGAGTAAAACATAATCAAATCAATCTTTTTTTCTAATCAAAAATTTTATGTTGTTTGAAAAGTAATACTTTTGTTTATTTATTTTAACATTATTTAACTTTTTTATATATATTATTTATGTAACATTTTTATTTTATTTTCTATATTTGGCAGTTTATAATGATTGTAAAAGTAATGACAGCTTCCGTTGCTCTGAAAATACTTGCATAGCCAGGAGTGAAGTTTGCGATGGAATGATAAACTGTCCAAATGGTGCTGACGAAATTGGCTGTCGTAAGATTATTTTAGATTTATTTTAATATTACGTAACTATAAAAGTGGTAGACAGTAAATGCTTTAACGAATCTTTATAATGTAACATGCAAAGTTCAAGATAAATCTAGATATACTCAGATTAATGAATGCTTAAACATTTACTTTCTTCTAGGATAACTTTGTAATTTTATAAATGTTTGAATTAAATAATTTAGCTATTGTGTTGTCCGCTCTTGTTATTAATTTATAAATGTTCTAATAAATTTCATAGTACGAAGCATAAAGTACTTCATGGTACAAATCATATAGTAAGTTCTCCCCAATGATCCTCTGCAATAGTCGGATCACCTCTTCATTCTTTAGGAGTTCTTGTAATTCCTGCACTATTGTCACAAGTCTGTGAGTCAGTCCTACTGTTGTGGTAGGATTAGGACGAGAACCGTTTCCAACTGGGACGGGCTTTGCACCCCGTGAAGTTTGCTGTGTGGGTCTCCCCACAGTTGCAACACTTTGGTGGTGTGTGTCTGTCTTTTCGACATTCGTATGATTGGTGTTCGCCGGCGCATTTCACACATTTTGAAGATGCATTGCATGCTTTTTGAATATGGCCATATTCTTGACGGGAGTTGTGGAACTGCAGCTTCGATGGAATCCTCCATGGGTGGAGCTATGTGAGAATCTGCTGTGGTTTTAGATAGTGGTAAGGAAGTGACGGTCTATAGCGGTGAAGAAGAGCAGCTATTTATAGTCGTAATTAAATAATTATCTTTAGTTTTCTTGACATCAATTTAACTTTTCCTCCTTTGCCACGTCCAGACATAATTGCAAGAGAATGAAATAGGTCTTTAGATATCATGACTTACCTTCGTTCGTTGTTGTAGAACTGGGCATCTGAGGTCTAGATGGCCCCTTTACATGACTTACCTTTCGTTCGTTCGTTGTTGTAGAACTGGGCATCTGAGGCCTAAATGACCCTTTTCCCATTCATCTTGAAATATCCCATGACGGGAACATACATAGGAAAGATGTGATGTAGGCTCGGAATAGAACCTGAAATGAGGTAAAAATGAAGAAAGGAATCATGTGAGGTGTAGCAGGCATGATGGTGGGGCTCCATATCTACATATTTTGGGTTGGGAGCAAGGAGATGAGTAGAGAGACTATTTTCTCGTCATTCAACAGTTCCTGGAGTTCTTTGAGAATGTTCAGGAATCTAGCTACATTGCTGGGGGCATCTTGAGGTTTCCTCGTGAAGGTGCGCTGGTGTCTTTTCGGCCTAGCACCACAGCCCGTAAAGCAGGCCGGGTGATCGCCTTGGCAGTTTATGCACCTGGCAGGAAGGGAGAGAGGCTTCATACATTGGTAAGTGAAATGCGCTCCTGCGCATTTCATGCATGCTGGCTCATTTGAACATGATTTTTGAGTGTGTCCAAATTTTTGACATTTGTAACATTGTATGGCGTAACGCCCTCCATGAAATTTCTCTATTTGGACAGGATGAGATA